CTGATACAAAGCACATTCAAGCAAAAAAAAGAGACATTTCAAACATCAGATAAAGTTGTCTATGGAGCAACTGGATACAGCCCAATGTGCGTCGGCCGCGTGGAATTAAAAAAAAAACAAGAGTAAATAGCCCATGTGTTCTTCTAGACTATGTTCTACATCTATAAATTTCATACAGATCCATTCAGTCTTTTAGGCTACAAACTCTAACAAACATCCATCCATTCATCTAAACTTTCGCTTTTATAATATTAGTATGAAGTATGCTTTAGTATATAGCCTAGAGAGAACATTTCAGACTATGTTCTACATTTTTGCCAAATTTCATCGAGATTCTTTAAGCTGTTTTGGAGATACGTTGTTTTTTAATTTGACGCCGACGAAGTCGCGAGCAACAGCTAGTAGTTTGTACATACCTGGTAGGGGCGCTCGCCTGTATGACAGCGTTGGTGCCGGCGCAGTTTGGAGAGCTCCACAGACGCGTACTCGCACTCCTGGCATTTGTGAGGCTTCTCGTGTGTGTGCTTGTATCTGATGTGACGTACTAACTCACCTGGAAACATTGTAAGAAAACTAAGTTAAAAGCTAAATCTATTACTTTTTATTTTGCCTTACTTATTACATACTTTAATTGAAAATAAAAAGTTACATCTAATTATTGAAATTTGTATTTGCTTTATTTTATCAGTGGTAGAAACCGCTTTAACATCTTCGCAAGAATGGGCCGGCTCGACCTCGCAATACCACGACCACACAGAATACAAACATTGAGTAGAAGCAATTTCTAACCAAAGGCCTGATTTTGGTCCGTTTTTCTCCCTACCCTTTCCTTATAAGGAAAGGCTGAGTATGAAAAGTAGATTTGACCGTGGAGATGCCTAAGAATATCATCTTTTTGTGTGTCTACGTCCTACGTCGATTCGGGGTGGGCAACGCATCGACAATTGCGGATGTCTAAGGGTAGCGGTCGCTTCGCTTTGTTGGTGGCCATTGGCTCATTTGCCAACTTATCATAAAAAAATGTTGCTATAGTTTTAACCTGAAGTAGTGAATGGAGTGTTGCAGTATTTACACCGATACGGCTTGAGGCCGTAGTGCATGTTGGTATGGTTCTGCAGCGAGCTGGCAGTCTTGAAGCCGCGCGCGCATACGTTGCATTTATGGTCGCGATTCCCAGAATGAGATTTCAAATGTCTCAGGAGCAAGTATCTGTAAATAGGATGTATTATTAATAATAATAAAATAGTCTTTATGTCGACAATGTTATATAATTTAGATATAAACTTAACACTAATTTTGATTTTCATAACTCCTGACACCGGTTTAAAGATTGCGTTGCGGGAACCGAAAAGGCCTTCACTAAAGCTTGCCACTCCTTTCTGTTATATCTTTCTCCTCCATATAACACTAGCTTTTATCATAATTTCGCATAATAGGTTGTATTCTTTACTATAAATAGGTTGGAAGTTATCTCAGTAGTTAGACTGTTGGCTCGTGTTAAGACTTACCGACGATGAGTAGTGTAGGAACAGACACTACACTGGAAGTTTCCTCGGAAACGCTTAGATTGAGTTTTCTTAGTGGTCCCGTAAACTTTAGTATCGTTATTATTAATGTTAAGATTTTCATTTTCATGGAAATCATAAACTTTAATAAATTCATCCTGAAATAAAAAAATCAACTAGTAAGTGATCTTATGATATGAATAAATTGAACCATGATTGCATCGTTAAGGGAGGGGCAATGTAATTTTATTATTTTTCCATTACTTTATTTACATTTATAATGGAGCATTTAAATTGTTGATATGACATATATCTTTAGTTCCATGTTTAGTGGACCTCCCTTTAGCTTATGCATATGACACTGAATGTTTTACGGCAATTAATTTCTTAGCATGATAAAAATTCCTCAATTACAAAAATATATGAAACAAACTTTGCACTTATAAGTTACTAGCTTTCGCCTCGACTCCGTCCGCCGCGGAATTAAAAAAAACAAATGTAAGTAGCCTATGTGTTCTTCCAGACTATCCTGTACATCTTTTTCAAATTTCACCGAAATCTCTAACAAACATCCATCTAAACTTTCGCATTTATAATATTAGTATGATGCAATAAAGAAGCCGATAGAAGCGCCCTCAGAACAGGACTTTAATTTCTAAGTTATGCTATACCTGGATATCACTGTTAACTTGTGTGGTTCCTTCTTGTACAACAATAACATACTTTATATCTCCTGATATGTTCTGTATTGGCATCATTGTTACTCCTTTATACTCATCAGTATAATTATCTACTATTATCTCGATATGTTTTACATCTGTTTCTTCCATGGACTGAAAAAAATGTATGATTTATAAAAAAAATAATTGTGAAAATTGTCTAAAATCTTTATAAGCATCATTTAAAAGGAATATTTTTTTGCTCATTATCAACTTCCCTTAGCCCTTATTTAGGGTCGGCACAGTATGAACTACTCTGTATTTTTATTACTATTATAAAAATAAATATTCAATCGCCATTGTTACCTCTCGACTTCCTTTGCTTGTCATTATTGAGACAATATCTAGGTAATTATTATCAGGCAGGTTTTGAATCCCTTTGTAACTTCAAAGTATTAATTCTGCAAATAATTTGAAGAATATTAATATTTCCTAAATACATATGTAAAATTGTGTACAAGTTATTACTGATTTAATCAACAAATTTTTTTTATAGTACAATATATCTACTTATGCCATAATTTTCAAAATTTATCGAACAAATGGGCTTGATAGGACATAGATATATGTATTTATCTATCTATAATTAACTATTGTAAGGTTGCCTAATTAAAAAAGTTAAAAAAATCAACTACAACGATCTTCTGCCAATCCAAGTATGAGAAACCTACAAATAGATTTTATTTAATACCCATAAAATCTAGAAGATTCTTAATTGCCAATATAACTAGGGTCACTCGTATAAAATTGTTCGTAAACGCATTATATTATGTTATGCTTTGTTCCATAAGTTATAAATATAACTAAGACTACTATAATGTGTCTTCAACGCCATCTGGTTTTATCGTTTGTATATGAAGTCTAATTGGGAACGAAAATATTCACAGACGGCGCTGTCGTCAATGCAGCTTATTGATTATTCGTTTGTTATAGAAATAATATAAAGGAAATTATTTTTATGTTTAATTATTTGTAAATGTCAATTATAAACTCGATAAATACATACCTTTATAATAAGATTGAAGTCACAAATCTTCCAATTCGAATATTCAGATCTGTGTAAAATGCGACAGTGACGCCAAAATGGCTGACGGCAAGCGTGCGCACTACTAACACAGGACCACGGATTATACACGGTAGTAAAAAGTGTTACCATGCCTTTGTTAAAACGTTTAAATTATAAATTACGCTTTTATAAATACATATGTTATCTAATGAAATAAATATCTTAAAATCATTGTTTAACCTCACACATATATTAGATTTTGTGGAAATCCTTTGATTTATATGGTGGTAAAAATCACGAGGTAGTAAACACACGACACTTTAACATAAAATATAACCTTTATCAGAATGAGATTAGTAAAACGCATAGACGTGACTTTTAGTACACTATCACCGAATCCAGTGGTGCCCAACATTTTCTAAATATTTTTTATATGTACCCTCTTTTACTTCCTAATACTTTCCTTTTCATTTTTAATGGTTGTATTCTTAATTGATTTGCAATGAACGATTTTAATACTTATCTTACTAATATTATAAATGCGAAAGTTTAGACGAATGGATATTTGTTTGAGTTTGTAGTCTAAACGACTGAAATGATCTAGATGAAATTACGCATAGATGTAGAAGACAGTCTGGAAGAACATATAGGATACTAACTTTTGTTTATTTTTTAAACGCTACGCGGGCGAAAGCTAGTGCCTCGTATATTTTTATTATTTCGAGAAAGGTTGGCAGCCACTGTCATGTCAATACGTCAATCATTTATGTCTCGCGCTGATTGTTTTATGAGTTTGATCGTTAAAAGCGTAGTGGTACATTGTTATAAACAATCGACAGGTTTCTTTGTCTCATTGGCGTCATAATTATTATTATTCTATACCGATAATATTATTAAACCAAATGATAAATATTTTTTTTAATTAAATGTCTTGTAAATTACGTTAATTGTAATTGTATTGTGTATCTTGTAATTGATGTATCTAAAATAACTGTAAGTTGTCAATTTAAAGAAAAAAATCATGATAAAAGAAGTAAAATTATTTTTATTGCTGTACTTATAAGGTAAACACCATTAAGCAATTTGTAGTTAAACAAACAATAAATTCAGATGTAACATAAATCACAGATTAACTAGGATTTACGGGGAGTGTATTTTTTACGTAATATTCGATCGTAAAACAGTAAAAGCGCAGTAGCATTTCACTTTACTGTCCTCTATAAAGTGTCGCCATTAAAATGTCAGCCTGCAAGTTGTGGGGTGAATGAATGACCTGCTGTCGGAGGTGGCCGTCTTCAGAATAAAACATGTTTATCTCAACTTAACTTTTCCAAGTTATATTTAATGTATACGATATTCATTGTGTTAGGAATAAAATTAGTACCGTGCTATAGAATTGGCGCAACTCTAGATTATCGGCATAAACGGCACGTCCCTAGCTGACAGCTGTCAATGTCACTAGAAGTATGGATAGATTGGCGCGTAACTTGAGTCTTGACGAGAAGTATTGCTCTGAGTTAAAAGCGATAGTATCAATTAAATAAGTTGTCTAATAGTTGATAGGTTACGGCAACCCCAAAAAATGCGTCCCCTTTACGCATCGTATTCGAAGTTCAAAATCTTATCTGAGGGTCTATCATAAATATTGGCGTGACATTTGCGAGAACTTTCATGAAATACCATCAGATTTGCCGGTCAATTTGTATATTTATGTCGCCCACAAGCTTCGTTAGCGCAAATTTGGACTTGGGGACCTAGAACAAACAAAAAAATTTTAAATGCGATTTTTAAATCTGGAATTTTTCTTTTGACACTACAAACAGAAACTCCAATTTTATTATACATATAGATAGATTATTGTTTACCGTGAGTATAACAGTTTAGCTACTGGAGTCATAGATAACGCTTGGACATGGATTTAGAGAGCAATGAGCCAATGACTCAGCCACCCAAATAATTAGACGATATTTAGTCTGTCAATGCCCTTATGATGAGTCATGGACCGAAAGAATGTATGCTCTCAACATTACTGAGTTACCATCCCCTTGGTGTTGCAAGTATTTATTTAAATAAAAACGCTTGTAACAAAGATTTCTTTACACTGATGACGTTACCAAATACTTTTTTTGCTCGCCTTTTCGTTTTTGTAACGGAAATGAAACAGGATGATATCTTGGTTTTTTAATCGTCTGAAGTTACGTGTTTTTAGTTGTTGATTTTGTATACAGAAAATACGTAACTTTTTTTATATTTTAGATACATCGTATTACAATAAAAAAGAAACATACTGTACTGTATCGATATAAAATGTTTAAATGATAATTTCGTTTATTTTGTAGGTAAACGCAACATTCCAGGTAACTAATATTATTTAATATGTTTCAGATTTCAAAAAGGACTGGTCAGACCACGCACTTTGGTGGCCGACACGCAACAAATGGCTGTCCAGGCCGAAGCATACGCTGGACCAGTATGGCGTTCACGCCGACGCCGCGCTGCACTTCACGCCCATGCACAAGCCACTGCGCATACAGCTACCCGATCTTAGATACATCGACTGCAAGATAGACTTCTCTATTGACACCTTCAGTGCTGTCGTACAGCTCTGCAAGAATCTCGGTAAGAACCATTCTATAATTAACTAGTGTTCTTTGTGCATTCATGCACTAACTAGTGTTCTTTGTGCATGAATGAAGGGCAGTTGATCAAGTTTTACACCTAAGTAGCAGCAGAAACATAACAAAAACTGTTGCACTATCAGTCTTTACATTGGTCATAGCGAAGTAGATGAGATAAAAACAAAGGCCGTAGAGGAAATTACGCTCTTATTTTCTTATAAAGTAATTCCAGAGTCCTCTCCCATCTTAATTCGAGTCCTACTTGATAAAATAATTTGTTAATTGTCGTTTCAGGTATACGGCATCCAGAGGAACTTTCTCTATACTACCCTCTCGAGCCCTCGCACTTGAAGCAGAATTACCAGAACTTGAAAGAGGCGAAAAAGATAAAGTCCTCGCAGCCGCCGGACACAAATACGTTCATAGCGGCGACGCGCGGCTCCTCCAACAGTCTAGACCGCTCCAATGGACTATGCCCCG